CGATTTTTCAATAGCCGGCTTGTGAATGAGGTCTTTCTGTGTTTGTGAACAGTGAGGGGGCAAGAAGAGAAAGCACCCACACTGCATCTCCCCCAAGCAGCTCCCCCAAGAAGCCGCCTTTGCCAAGAGCAGAGGATGCTGGGATGTGTGTGAGTCACTTCTCTCTGGAGGTTTCCAGGGAGCTAAGCTGTGAGAGGCAAACTCGCAGCCAAGGCCCAAGAGGGTTTCTTTTCCCAGACCTGAGCCTCCTCTTGCTCAAGAATATGGCTTTGTATCCGGCTGAGTGCCTTGGTGGGCGGGGCCTGGCTGCTCCAGTTTGAATGGGGGTTCACCTCCCTCTTCATAAGGGTTTTCCTTTCCAACCCTTTCACCTTAGGAGTCACCTGTGGGGTTTATGAATGGTGTCTTGGACTGACCCCCAGTTCATCTTTGTTCTCGAGAGGTGGAAACAGCCTGGAGAAGGAAGACATTTAGGCCCAAAGGCTTTGGCCCCAGTACAAGAAGGCATGGTAGGTCTTTGAGGCCCTGAAGGCAGCACCCCTTGGAGATCACTACAAGAAAGGCAGAGGTGTTTAGCTCTTATCTGTCCTTACTCATGACTCCTCTCCTCAGGACACAGGTTCTCCCTCTGTAGTTTGTGGTTAGTCTGTTGGAGTGACCATCCCCCAAGGATGAAGACAGAGTGTCTGAGGGTCCCCAGTACTGCTATCCTAGCTCTTGCTGCAGGTACACGGTGTGTGCACTTGGGGGGTCACAAAGCTGAGGAGTCCAGATGTTCAGTTTTGACACACACCCCACCAGAATGGATTCAGCCATTGGCAGAGGATTTTATTCTAGGATCAGATGTTTAACCCCTGGACCAGTGATTCCCAACCTTCCTAATACTGCAGCCCTTCATGTTGCCGCGACCCCCCAACCATAAAATTATTTTGTTGCTACTTCGTAACTGTAATTTTGCTAGTTATGAATCATAATGTAAATATTTGGTATGTGGGATATCTGATATGTGATCCCTGTGAAAAACCAAAACTGGCTTTATTTTGCCTGGAGGTAGTTTATGGTATTTTAGAAGGTACTGTGTTGTTGGGGGATCACCATGGAAACTTGCAGTTTTCAATAGGGTGAACTCCAGCTTGAGCAAGTGACTTAAACAGAGGCGAAGGCAAGGTAGCTAGGCACTTTTAGACTAGCCTGGCCTCAAACTCAGAGGTCTACATGCCTCTGCCTCCGAGGGCTAGGATTAAAAACATGTGTCACCACTGCCCAGCCTCTGCAGATCTTTATAAGTGAATAAACATGTTTCCTTGGGTCCCTAGAGTCATTCTAGCAAACCCCAAACTGAAGAGACCTTGGGGGAAACTCTGATTTATTGCCAGTGGGTCAGAAGCTCAGGACTTGGGTCTGGAATCTGCTGGATGGGGGCAGTCTTGAGAGCTGAGCCTCATCCCGTAGGATCTATCTCCAGGCATGTTGTGTTGTAACTGGATTTGAAAGACCCAGAGGTGGCGATCACAGCATCAGTGTGGCTTACTGGTGGGATGAGGGCTCCTCTCTTCCTGAGATCACAGAGGTTTTTTTACGAGTTTTCAGTGTTGCGAGACATGAGAGCAAGGAGAAACTTTTTGGAGACACAACTGGACTTGAGACAGGGTCTCCTGTAGCCCAGGCTGGTCTTGAATTTGCTAAGCAGAGGAGGATGATCTTCAGTTTCTAATCCTCTGCCTCTATCTGGAGAGTGCTGGGATTGCAAGTGCCAGAACACTGGTCTACGTTGTCCCAATGGGGGAACCCAGGACTTTGTACATGCTAGGCAAACACGCTACCAACTCAGCCACATCCCCAGCCCTGAGGCCTTTTGCTTTTGTTTTATTAAGGGTACTAAACTCATTTATGAGGACACCACCTTCATGACCTAATCATGTTCCAAAGGCCCCACATCTAATACTGACATTTTGGGAATTGGCTTAGGTTTTAACATACAGATTTGGCAGTTGGGGGGGGGGTGAATGAAAAAAAATTCTTACCTAATTTTGGGGGAAAATCCTTTTCATTTACCCATGTTAGGTTTGTTGACTGTGTTCTCCAAATTAGACTGACAACAGGCAGATTAGCAAGAGAAAAACCAAGTTATTCCAAGGCAGTGCATGCACACATGAGGGCATGCAGCGAAGTAACAAAAGGAAGGACTTAAAGAGTTGCTTCATGAGCTAGTTGTGTGGTAGCCAACTGTGGAAGGGCACAAATGTGGGGGACACTAGTGGCAGATGGGCTTTGTGTGGGGTGGTTTCCCTGTAAGCTGTCTCCAGTGACGTCTGTTCACCCCATCCTGTGGAGCAGTCATCTCATTGTAATAGCAAAAATTATGCTCTGTTTTTAGGTGGTGCAGAGAGGTTACAGAGCTATTTCTCAATGGCTTTTCAGCTTATGCAGAGTGGCATATTTGGGGTGCTATGCCATGAACCCCTGAGGAAAAATGACCCCCTATTCACCAGGTTCCCACAACAATCAACCCATTTTAACTTCCTCTGAATTTCCACCATCTCCATACCCATAATATATATAATATATTATACCCATTATGTTATAATATATAAATTACTTTTTATTTTTATTAAAATTGACTTTATTGAGCTATATATTTTTTCTGCTTCCCCCCTTCCACTCCCCTCACATCCTACCCTCTCTCATGATCTCCATGCTCCCAATTTACTCAGGAGATCTTGTCTTTTTCTACTTTCCATGTAGATTAAATCCATGTATGTCTCTATTAGGGTCCTCATTGTTGTCTAGGTTCTCTGGGATTGTGATTTGTAGGGTGGTTGTCTTTGCTTTATGTATAAAAACCATTTAGGAGTGAGTACATGTGATAATTGTCTTTTTGGGTCTGGGTTACCTCATTCAATATGATGTTTTCTAGCTCCATCCATTTGCCTGCAAAATTCAAGATGCCTTTATTTATTTATTTTCTACTATGTAGTGTTCCATTGTGTAAATGTACCACATTTTCTTTATCTATTCTTCAGTCAAGGGGCATTTAGGTTGTTTCCAGGTTCTGGCTATGACAAACAATGCTGCTATAAATATAGTTGAGCCCATGTCCTTGTGGCATGATTGAGCATCCTTTGGATATATACCCAAGAGTGGCATTGCTGGGTCTTGAGAAGGTTGTTTCCCAATTTTCTGAGAAATTGGTACACTGACAGCCAAAGGGGCTGTACCAGCNAGTTGTCATCAGTGTTCTTGATCTTGGCCATTCTTACAGGTGTAAGATGGAATCTCAGAATTGTTTTGATTTGCATATCTCTGATGACTAAGGATGTTGAGCATTTCCTTAAGTGTCTTTCAACCATTTTAGATTCCTCTGTTGAGTGTTCTATGTTTAGGCCTGTACTCCATTTTTTTTTATTGGGTTATTTGTTCTTTTGATGACCAATTTCTTGAGTTCTTTGTATATTTTGGAGATGAGACCTCTGTCTGATGTGGGGTTGGTGAAGATCTTTTCCCATTCTGTAGCTGTAGTTTTATCTTATTGACCGTGTCCTTTTCTTTACAGAAGCTTTTCAGATTCAGGAGGTCCCACATATTGTTTCTCTCAGTGTCTGTGCTACTGGGGTTATATTTAGGAAGTGGTCTCCCCTTCCACTGAGTTCAATTGTACTTCCCACTTTCTCTTCTATGAGGTTCAGTGTGGCTGGCTTTATGTTGAGGTCCTTAGTCCATTTGGACTTGAGTTTTGTGCACGGTGATAGATATGGATCTATTTTCATTCTTCTATATGTTATAACTGGAACATCTTCTGGTGATGTTCCAGTTATAACATCACCATTTGTTAAATATGCTTTCTTTTTTCCTGTTTATATTTTTTGCTCCTTTGTCAAAAACCAGGTGTTTATAGGTGTGTGGATTAATATTCGGGTCTTCGACTTGGTTCCATTGGTCCTCCTGTCTGTTTTTATGCCAATACCAGGCTGTTTTCTGTACTGTAGCTCTGTAGTAGAGTTTGAAGTCATTGAATTCTAATTTTAGCCATAGTGATTCAATAAGATACATGGGGCTTTTCCAATTTTTTTTTTGTATCTGTGGAAGTTTGCTTTGTTACCTAGTATGTGGTCAGTTTTTGAGAAGGTTCCTTGAGGTGCTGAGAAAGTATATATTTTTTTTGTTTGGATGGAATGATCTATATACGTGTGTTAAGTCCATTTGATTACTTGTTAGTTGCCTTATTTCTGTGTTAATTTTCTGTCTGACTGACCTGTCCAGTGGTGAGAGTGGAGTGGTGAAGTCTCCCACTATTAGCGTGTCGGGTTTAATGTGTGATTTAAGCTTTAGTAGTGTTTCTTTTACATATGAGGGTGCCCTTGTATTTGGGGCATAGATGTTCAGTATTGAGATTTCCTTTTGATGGCTTTTTCCTGTGACTGATATGAAATGTCCTTGTCTCTTTTGATTTTAGTTTGAAAAATCTATTTTGATATTAGGATAGCTACACCACCTTGTCTCTTAGGTCGATTTGATTGGCAAAAATTTCCTCAACCCTTTTCTCTGGGGTGATGTCTGTCTTTGAGGTTGAGGTGTGTTTCTTACTGTATGCAGCAGAAGGATGGATTCTGTTTTCATATCCAATCTGCTCCAGCTGAGGTCACTGGCTCAGCATAAATGATTATTTTAACACTGACTATAAAACCACTCTCACAATTAAACATTTATTGTCATTCCTTAATAAAGGATCTAGACAGTGGGCCAGTAGAAAGGTTTTTGTTTGTCCAGAGGTGCACCACGCGCTGGTTAACTGAATGGCTAGGCAGTGCGGAGTCTTCAGAATACTTACAGTTCTGGTAGAGGAGGCTGAGATGGTGCAAACGCTTTTAAAAATTTCTCACCAAATCAATCAAGCACCCTAAAACCCAGCAATTTCTTTTCTAGATGTTTAAACGAAATGAAAATGTTGCTCCCATTAAAAAAATTACACAAGCATATTAAATTTATTTTAAGAACCCTAGCTTGAAAAAATGACATTATATCAGTAGCAGATGAATGAAGAAATAGATTGTGACACACTTAGAAATCAAGAGAACAATTGCTACATATAGGACTGAAATATAAATTCAAAACGTTGTGCTGCTGAGGAGAGGGAACCTGAAATGACCCTATCCTATAGCCATACTGGTATCTTGCATATCACCTTAGAACCTTCATCTGGCGATGGATGGAGATAGAGACAGAGACCCATATTGGAGCACCGGACTGAGCTCCCAAGGTCCAAATGAGGAGCAGAAGGAGGGAGAACATGAGCAAGAAAGTCAGGACCGCGAGGGGTACACCCACCCACTGTGACAGTGGGGCTGATCTATTGGGAGCTCACCAAGGCCAGCTGGACTGGGACTGAATAAGCATGGGATAAAACTGGACTTTCTGAACATGGCAGACAATGAAGGCTGATGAGAAGCCAAGGACAATGGCACTGGGTTTTGATCCTACTGCATAAACTGGCTTTGTGGGAGCCTAGCCAGTTTGGATGCTCACCTTCCCTGGACCTGGATGGAGTGGGGAGGACTTTGGACTTCCCACAGGGCAGGGAATCCGGACTGCTCTTCAGACTCGAGAGGGAGGGGGAATGCAGTGGGGGGAGGGGGAGAGGAGTGTGAGGAGGGGGAGGGAAATGGGGGGAGGGGAGGAGGTGGAAATTTTTTCAACAACAACAACTAATAATAATAATAATAATAATAATAATAATAAACCGTTGTGTTGAATAAAAAGCAGCCAGACTGAAGAACCCATTTATCTTGGTTTCTAGAACAGGCCTGTGGCCAGCATCATCAAATCAGTCAATGCCTCAGGGACAGGGTAATGGGCAGTCATTACAGAGGTGCTGTGGGCAGTGTCTTATAGACTGAGGGAGGGGGAGGTGAGGACAACCAATAAATGCATGGGGAATATAAGGTGATCTGGTTCCTAGCAGCTTGCAGCCCCACCGCAGTCTGTGGTCAGGCATCGAAAGTAAGTCTGGGACTAGAGATGCATCTCAGTTGGTAAAGTGATTGTCTAAAATGACCGAGGTCCTGGGTTTGATCCCTCTTACTGAATAAACCATGCATGGTGGTGTATACCTGCAATTTTAGTGCTTGTGAGGTGGAGGCAGGGGGGATCCGTTCAAGGTCTCCTCAGGGAATGTGGTCTCCTCCTACAGAGGGGATATGGGATACATGAGACTGTCCTGGAAGACACGGCCAGGCCTGGGACACAGACTGAGAAGACTTAAGAGTGAGAGAACTACTTGTGTGGGCGAGCGGCTCCAAGTTTAGCTGTGTAAGCCTGTGTGCTGGGCAGAGGGCTGATTTAAGCAGGGTCACGGGTTTGCCAAGTTGTCATTTACAACAGAAGGGGGTCTATTAATATACCAGGGAAAGGAGTTTGTCTTTGGTCATAGGAGTCAGGCCTTGCGGAAGTAGTGGTCACAGGGTCTCTGAGATCTGTGGGATTCTTCATATCACACACAGGACAGGGCAGAAACATGATCCTCCTGGGTCCCTTGTTCTGCATTCTTTAAGAGCCTGACTTCTCAGAGAACGTTTCTATGGGCTCAGGGAGGGAACCCCAGTTCCGATCACTTGTCCCCTCAACTAGTGGTGTTTGCTGGGATCACCTTAAACAAAGATTCACAGGCTCTGGGGACTTCCAGTAACTAACTAGCCTGACCTATCCACTCAGTTCTATCTACTGCTCCAGGAAGATCAGTCACCTGCCTCACTGGGGGCAGTCTGGCTATATTTCCCCCTTGGCCAACTCTTAGAGGAACAGCAGGTTCTTATCCTACCCTTTTCTGCCCCACAAGGCTTGGGCATGGCTTTCTCTGCCATCTACTCTTCTCTGTCTATATGATTCCTCTCCTGAGGATGCAAGTACAGCCATCTCCCTCTTGGTAGGCCGCCATCAACAGCAGGTAGCAGCGGCTACTCACTGTTAGTTTTCTCTTGGGTGGGATTATTCTGACAGTGTGTACTGCCGTCTTCCAAGGTGGCACCAGCAGGGTCTGGCTCCAGCTGCCTGCGGAGGCCACTGTCGCCAGTACTGTCTGTCTCCCTTCCTTGTAATACCTGCCTCTTTCAGGAGTATTTGCTGGGATTACTGTAGACTAAGATTCTACCTGACAGTTTAAGAATTAGAAGAAAAAGCCCACCCAGCACTGACCGACCAGAAGTAGTCACAGGGTGCAAACAGATCAGGACCCCATCACAAGTAATGTCAAGAGGGGCCATTTTTCTAGAGATAGCCCTGCTGGGTTCAGGGCCCTTGCCTCCCAGAACACAGGCTTTTTACTAGCTTGTCCCTCCTGCCCTTGTTAACTGGCCTGACTTGCGGCTGACCAGTTAAATTAGGCATTGAATCGAGCCCCGTCGTTCTTGCTTTTAGAAAGCAGTAAACATTGTCCTGTTGAATGTGTGTAGTGTGGTTCTCCCTGGTGAGAGGCCAAGCCAGGAATGGTAGGTTCCTACTCAGACTGAAATATCCTCAAGGCTCTTACCTCCACGACTGGGTGCTGGATCCAACTTTTATATTTCTGAGTAAAACACACTGAAGACAGATTTCTACCTGGGTCTGGTGGCACACACCTGAAACCCTAGTATTCTACAGGCTCTGCTAGGAAGATTAGGAGTTTATGGCTATCCTGGACTACATAGGAAGTCCTTGTCTCAAAAATAAAAAAATAAAATAAAATGATGAAAAGAGACAAGATATTTTTCTTTCTCTATTTTGGTGACAAGTGAGATCCTTTGATGGACACTGGATCTGTAAGGAAAGATAAATAATAGGCAAGTAACACAGTTATTAGTTTAATCAATCCCTTGCCATCTATCTAGACAACTTTCCACTTTGACAGTCTTCCCTATGAGGGTTCAACAACTAAATGCTTTTTGTAAAAAAGTTAATCATCTTAGAATTCAAATTCCTCCTTTTCTCCTCCTCTTCTTCCTTCTCTTCCTCTTCTTTCTTCCCCCTTCCCTCTCCACCCATCTGTCTGCACGTGTGCAGATTGACATATATGTACAGAAGGCAGAGGTCAACATGATGAGTCTTCCTTAATTGCTTTCCTTCTTATTTTGAGACAAGGTGTAGTCTCTCGCTGAACCTAGAGATCAGGGATCAACTAGACTGGCTGACCCGAGAGCCCTAAGAATCCTCTTGCCTCTTAGTCTACAGCATTGGGATCACACTGCTGGTTCTGGCTTTTTACATGGATGATGGGGATTTGAACTCAGATCCTCATACTTGCCAGGCAAATACTTTACTTACTGAGGCATCTCGCCATTACCAGTTTTTAAAATTCAGTCTTCCCAACAAGAGAATTCTGCTGGTATTATCTCCACTTAACGGGAAGAGAGTGAGATGCCAGAACCTGCCCAGGCACTGGATGCTAAAGGAACATCTAACCCTAAGTCTGCATGCTCACAGAACCCATACTTCCAAACAGTGATGCTACAAGGAATCTCACAGATTAAATGCTTGCATCCTTTATGTGGCTAGTGCCACTGTCATCCCCACCCTGGGGCATGGCCCTGAACAGGGCACCTCTGAGTCTCTCTCTTTGACTCCTCATGTCCGTGGTCTTCAGAGAGAGCTGTTCCTCCCCACTAGAGATAACACTGACAGAGAAGTTAAGAACATGCATCTAGCACCGAATCCAAACGGCACAGTCTAGACTGGAGATTGTCATGTTAACTCCAAATCCAGCATTTTTTCAGGCGCCATGCTGGTATGATAGCAAGACACAGCAGCCTCCAACTATCTCCCTCAAACTCCTGCTCACTCCCAGCAAGAAGAGGGTAGCCAAGGCTCTTAGGTGCTGCATGCGCTATTTCCCGGAGGGCAGGGTGGCTTACTATTATTATTCCTCAGATGACCCTTGAATGGACATTAGGAGCTCTGGCAAAATGACCCCCACTGGAGCCATTTGCAGGATTTGGATGTTTAAATATTCTAAGCATTGATTCCCAGACCTGTGTTTGACTTCAGTTATCACCCATCCGCTCCCATGGATGATAGACGGCTCAGGGTTAGGCCGAAATATCTCCCTTGGTGCTTGCTCCCTCCCTCAACCATCACTTTTAAAGCATTCATTGATCAAGACCTAGCTATTGGGATGACTGTGGGTGCTCTTGGCGATCACCTCGCCCAGTTCCCTTCTCAGCTGATGCATTGGCTCTTTGAATGGTAGATTTTGGCTGATGATGAACAAGGGCTACTCCTTCCTCCAGTGACTGGCACTCAGGATGAGGAACTGATTTTTCCACCAAGACCCAAATTTGCTCCCTACACCCCTACAGTCCCATACTGATCGAGGGGCACAGGGACATGGAAGGAGAAGCCTTGTGTCTCTTGAGGGAGCGGCTCTATTGTACAAAAAACATTCTGGAGCTCCATGGAGCCAGTTTGAGGCCTTCTTTTCTTGCTCTTGCCTTCCCACCCACATTGGCTTTCTCCTGAGAGTACTTCCTTAAGGTATCAGGTGTACCCAGTCCTTGTTTCTGGCTCTGCTTCTGGGGCTCAGGGGGCTCAGGTGAAATGGAGTGGCGTTTGAAGACATCCCCATACTCAGAGATGGTGCAATATAAGGAGCAGGAGAGATCACACACATTCCAAAGAACCTTGTGGAACAGGCTGGAGGACACTGGTGTGAGTGGAAACAGTCACTGGAGTTGGGGGGTACACCGGGGGAGCTAAGCCACCAAAGAGAGGTCGGACTAGAGATGTTATGAACGGTGGCCACTTTTCTTAGACATTCTAAGAAAGACCCCAAATTGTGAGCAACCTAACCCCAACCATGCTACTTCTTCCCATAGGGCTAGGGAAGCCATAGCAGGGCAGGGGACAAGAGAGAAGGTAGGAGTTTGTCCTGATGGTTCTTATAAATGGTCTCGGGACAGCCATGACAGCCTATCTTGAGTCAGGAATGAGTTGCCTAGACGATGAGCTGTCCCTGACAGGCTGAAGGCCTAGTCCACCTTGAGTTAGCTCTATCTGGAGGAAAGGGACACGGCGATCCTCCTACCTGCCGGACCATGGGCCTGGGGTTCAGTTCACAAGGATTCAGCGATGAAGTAGGCAGCTCCCAGGGCCCCCAGAGACACAGCAACAGTCCCGAGAGCCTGAAGTACGTGAGTTACGGGAAGTGCAGTATTTCCTTGAAGGTTTTCTGCAAAGCACAGCAGAAAGGGGGGTTAGGGGAGAAAAGTTTAGTGTCTGTGTCCTGGAAGGAGACAATGGCACTTAGAGGGTCCTGTCCTGATCTTCCTTCTAAAGGAAGGAAAGGGTACCCTAACAAGTGCCCCCGCCCTTTCCTACAAAGCTTCCAGCAAGATCCCTGGGGCATGAAGGTGGGCTGGCCTAGGCCTGATGCCTAGAGGGGTGGTAGGATGAGGGTGGTCCAGACCATGATGTGCCGGGCCAGATACCAGGCACCCCCAACTCAATGTCCCCTTTAAGCTTCACAACAACTCTCGGAGGCATTTCAGAGACGTTTAGATATCAGGAAAACACAGATTAGAGACACCACTGTAAAGACTGGGACAGCAAACTAGTGTACTAGTAAATGCAAGGAGGGCATCCCAGAAATGAATGAAGGAAGCTGACCAAAGCAGGGATTCTTGTCTAACGTGAATGCCTATTTTAAGTCCTCTGAAAAGGTAAAGACTGTGGAAGCAGTCTTTCCTTTGGGAAACAAAATAAAAACCATGAGTCTCTCCCTGGCCATGGGATCCAGGCCTCTTTCCCTCGCTTTCCTAAGTCTGAATGTTGTTTTGGTTTTTCCTACAGCTTAAAAGACCCCTCCTCTTCATCTTAAGCAGTAGAGGACCCCAGGATGCTTTTGGAGTTGGCTCATACACTAGGCACACAATGCTGTGGACCCTGACATGGTGCTGTCTTAGTCTAAAATTCCTAGGCACCCTCCTGGACCCAACACTACGTGTTTTGTGTAGAGGTTTCTAAATGCATGTGTCTTAGCTACCGCCCAGGTTGAACATGTCGAAAAGGTGAAGATCTTGTTTAGGTGACTCTCATAGTGCCTAGCATCCTTCTAGAGCAGACTTTGATTCCTTTTACCCATGGGAACCCAAAGCACCACCTGGCAGCAGATGGATGGGCACATTATGTGGGTGAGTGGTGGGCAGGCTTTTCCTGGATGGGATTGACTAGCTGGTATCTCTGATGCTTGGCATGTTCTGTTCCCTAGAACAGCCCCCCCCCTCTGTGTATGTTTCATATTCTGCAGGAAAGGGAGCTGGCAAGGGTAAGGAGAGGAGAAGAATGTGGGACAGTGAGCCGCACTCCTGATGTAAGATAGAAGGCCTCCATATGGAAGGCCCTTTGCCGGGGGCTTTTGTGACGTCTTGAGCACAAGTGGGGCTGATCATCTGGGTAGAGGCCCCTCTCTTAGCCCCAACACGTAACCCAGCAGTCCTGCAAGAATGAAGACATCTTCAGTCTGGTCTTAACATGGACGAGGGTCTTCCCATGAGTGACAGTGGCTAGATACATTTCTGCTGAGGAACATCAAGGCAAAGGCCGGGTGATGCCATGATGGAGGAGGGGCTGACAATAACAGACCAGTCTGGAACATATGACCCTTATGGATGTTCGTGGTAACAGCACGGCCTACTCTGAATGGGGCAGGTTTTGTTATTATTAGTAGAAGGGGCGTGTGAGTTATAATCAGGTTTATCGATGAGTTCCAGGGATAATTCATATACATTGTGCTAAATAGATGCTCCCTGTGTATGGTATGAATCAAAAAAGGAAGCGAATGGTCAACCAATATATAATCATAAGGCTCCCAGGTGACTGGAGTTTATATATATATATAGGCTAGGTGGAGGGGTGCTCTCAGGAGTGAGAACTTCTGTGGAAAAGAGAAATGGTACCACAAGAGTCTGCCCACCAAAGCAGAATTGGATATTTAGAGGGGAAGGAAGGCTTTCCTTTGGAAAGACCTATGGTTTCTGGAGGAATTTATTACACACGATTGCTACTAAGGTCTGAGGATGGAGCCTGGCCCTGGGAACTCTATGCTCAAGGCTTTATCCCTCCCACTTGCTTGGGAACCTGTAGAAGGTGAGAAGGTTTGGGAATCCTCTCCCCGGCATGGCTTGCCAGTCCCGAGGCAGGAGGACATCGAAGATGCGGCTGTGACACAGCCCCAGACGACGCCAGCAAGCAGAGCTGCCAGGGCAGGCCATACAGGAACAGGAGCGTGGAGCCATATAGGTCAGAGGCACTGCTGGACAGAGAACGAGAGAAATGAGGGCGGCACCATGTTCCTGGGGATGGGGCACAGTCTTGAGGACAACCCTAGAAGTCACACGTGGCAGCTGCAGTGTTACCACAGGAAACCCCAAAGGTGTGAGATTGAATGATAAGAAGGCAGCTAGCCTACAGGGCTGTCCCTTCTCAAACACAAGGGGGACTAGCTGTTTGGAAGAAGAGGTGGGTTACAGGCTGGTGTCACTTGGGAAGAATCACAGCAATGCAAAGAGATTGCTTACACCTGTCTAGTGCTTCCTGTCATCCATGTTCAGTTGGGACAGCAACCCTGTGACATGGAATGTGCTGGTTTCGTTTTTTTTCAGATAAGGAATCTGAGGCTTAAAGAACATAGCAAGTTCATTACAGAAGTGGACATTAGCTTGCCGGGTGGTGGTGGCACACACTTTTAATCCCAGGACTTGGGAGGCAGAGGCAGATCTCTGTGAGTTTGAGGCCAGCCTGGTCTACAAGAGCTAGTTCTAGGACAGGCTCCAAAGCTACAGAGAAACCCTGTCTTGAAAAACAACAGCAACAACAACAAAACCACCCCCCCCATAAAAAACAAAAAGAAAAGAAAAAAGAAGTGGACATCAGCTCAAGATCGCCAACTTTTTTTTTTTTCTTTTTAAGACAGGGTTCTCTATGTAGCCCTGGCTGACTTGGAACTCGTTCTGTAGATCAGGCTGGCCTCAGAGATTCTGCCTTTGGCTCTTGAGTACTGGGAGCAAGATCTTTAACCTTTAAAGTCAGGGAAAGTCCTTCACATGGAACTGGTAGGAAGTGATGCGAGCAGGCGATGGTACTGCCCATGAGAGGCTGCAACAAGAGTCCTGGAGTTGGTGCTGTTACATTCCAAGTACGTCGTGGGCACCAGTTTATCCTGAAGGCAAACATTACACCGCTTTATTCCTGCAGAAACAGTTCTCTAATCCTACCATTTCTGTGTTCTTCTGGGACCTGACTTAGCAGAACTGGAAGATGTTACCCTTTGTTTCTGGCCAAGCTGTTTTTTAGTGGATAATTCCAGCTGGGTTTGACAAGGGCTTCAGTCTTCAGTGCTGTAAAGCCAGTTAGTCAGCCAGCAGGTTCAGTACACTTCCTGCTTAGTCTGTCTATAGAACACATGGCTTTCTTGGAATGGGGGAAGCAAGGATTCTACAAACGATGCTTTTATTTTCAGCTTAAAAAGTTGAAATTGAGATATAACTCTCAAAGTTTTTTAATTTACTATTAGTGTGCTAGGTGACTTTAGTATGTTTGTGAAGTTGTGTGACCATCACAACTATATAGCTTTGGGACACTTCCATCTCCTGAAGAAGAAACCTCACCCTATCATCAGACACCCCCACTTCTCTCTTTCCTATCCCGGGCAATAGATTAACCTATTCTGGGCATTTTGCAAGTGAAATCAAACAATATATATTAATTCTTGGGAGGATCGGCTTCTCTAGACTAGTATTTTTAAGGTTCATCTGTGTTGTAGCGGTTATCAATAAAGCACATTATTTTTTTCTTTGCAAGTAGTGTTTCATTCTGATATTTTATACCACATTTATTTTACCCGTTCATCATGTGGTGGGCACTGGGTTGTTTCCAACTTTTAGCTATTATCAACAGTGCTGTTAGGACATTCACATACAGGTTTCTGTCTGGGTGTGGTTTTAATTCTCTCGTGTGGATACTCAGAAATGGAATGGGTCATGTGGTAACATCCAGATTGCTTCCCAGGAATACCCATCTCACTCTACAATCCTACTAACAATGTATATTCTGAATTCTAAATCTCCAACATGTTATTGTCCTTTTTTAATGATGTCGCTGTCACGGAGGATTGGTACTGCTTTTAGTCAACATTATTTTGCGTTAAAAAGGTCTGGTTATAGAAAGTGACATTATATATTTAAAAGTCTTCAGCCCATATTTCCAACCTTTCTGCCTGCTCTTTCTCAGAGGGGGAGATTCTCTGGGAAGCAACATGAGGTGTCCACTATAACCTCAATGAACATGACGGTGAATCTCATCAACTTGACTGGTTGGAAAACGCCAAGGTTGTCTGTAATGCACATTCCTGGGTGCTTCTATTAAGGTGTTTCTGGAGAAAAATTAGATCTGTGGAGGCTCTGATCTAATGAACGTATTAATCCCTTCCATGGATTCACAATGTAGCCTTATTGGGAGTTAATAAAAGGTAGGAGGTGGAGCCTAACAGGAAGATATACCAGGGTACGTCTTTGCAGGATATGTCTGTCCTTCTTGTCCTTCCTTTCTCCACTTCCTGGCTGCTTTGCTCTGAGCTATTTCTTGCCATGATACAAGGATAACCTTCAAACTGTGAACCAACGTGAATAATTCATCCTTTCGGCTGTTTCATACATTTGGTCACAGTGATGAAAAAGTTAACAAATGCTGTGAGCCTCGTTTTCACCCCTTCAATACCCCACTGCCTTCTAAGCAACTGCTTCAAGACTTAAAAGATTTGCAACAGCACAGTTTGCCTTCTACTGGTGACACCAGTTCTGAGGTCATCATCCAAAAATGTTTGTCTCCATGGTTCATGCTCACGTCACATACAACCACCACAGGTCAAGGACGTGGTGTTTAGTCACAGAGGCATTGGTGTCCCGGCAAGTCCTTGGATTTAGAACTCTCATTAACTTTTGACTCAGACTGTCTTAGGATTGCTGTGGCCCAGAGATCGTGGCCTGCTCAAGGACACAGAGCACCTGGTCACAGCTCAAGGAAAGGTCAGAGAAAGATGTCCTTCTTGAGAGACTAGCTGGTTTCTTGGCATTGGAAGGTTAGCTGTGGTTAAGGGTAAGGATTCTGGAGTCAGAATAGAATGAAGTCCCTTTTTCAGCAGTACCAACGGCTACTCCAGGGCCTGTTAGCTAGTTTAAACCCTGGTTTCCTTATCTATAAAATGGGCAGAGAAATAATACCATCCCTGCAGTATCATCAGATAAGATGATTAAGTTAGTCGGCTGAGCTTGAGTGCCAGATACTGAAAGAATAGCCCGCGGGCAGTTTGATTGGCTTTCACCATTGTCCTTAGCCACTTCAGTCCCCTTCATACTGTCCAAAGTTTGGCCTCTCATTGGCCACCCAAGCAGATGGGGATCACTTTTTGGCAGTCATCCAGCTGTTTAATTGTAGACAGGGCTGATGGCTACAAAATGTTATTTTGTTGTTGTTGCTTTGTTTGTTTTAAACATTGATCAGATTCTTCTCTAGTCTCTTCGGTGGGAAAGGCTGACAACTTAGCAAACAGAAATACAGGATGCTTATTTGAAACACATACACTAACATTATGTGGTTTATCTGAAGTTAGAATTTAGCCAGGAATCCTGGATTTTATTACAGTATCCTCTCTGTGGGTTCAAGGTCAGACCTCTTGGGACAACATGGAAAAACTTTTCTCCCATCTTCCACCTGATAAACAGGAAACCCCAGTTCCCTCAAAAACTGTCACCTCACTCTGGGCTATCTTCTTTGTGCTAGTCAGGTTTCTCATGAGAAGAGCCCGACAAAAATGTGGTCTTAAGGCATATGACGGCCTCACTTCTTCTAGACAGTTTGTCTTCAATTTCTAAACAGTTGTTGACTGATTGCTAAGGAGAGAGTCTCACCATAGAGCCGAGTTTAACGTTACTATGTATTCATAGTAACCAGTGAGACCTCGGATGTATGGAATGACAAAACCCAGGAATTCTGGCCTCTCTGGGAGTTACTCCCCCTTCATCCTTCATAAACATGGCCCCAGGTAACATGCTAACTGTACACCAACATCATGCAAGAACTGGGCTCTGGGACCCCATCAGCGAGAAGGATAGAAGTACTTAAACAGGAAGTCTGCCCACCTGGTTTCCTGGATGGAGAGCTTGATTTGGGTTCAACCTTTGCAGGTAACAGGCATGGCGTTGAGGCCCGGCGTTCTGCAGCTGGGAGAGCCTGGGGTGCAGGCGGTTGCGGTAGAGGTTCAGGGTTAACTTGCGGTGGGGTGGACTCCTGGCAGGGCTGTGGCTGCGACGGTGGCGAGGTGGACTCTGGGCATGTCGGTGGGGTTTCCGAGCTGGGATGCTGTGAGGAGTCGGAGCTAGCCTGCGGTGAAATGGTATCCCTGCGGCGCCTGGAATCGGACTTTTTCTTCTTGACCTTCTTCATGGTGATCCTTCTAGGCTAACACGGAGGAGCTACATGGAGCTGTGAATTTCCTGGCTCCCTCCCTAGGGAGGTCGTCTCCCTTACGGGTATGGCTCTGGTCTTTGACTGGAGCAAGGTCCCACAGACAAGAGTCACCCATACCTCCTCCTGTGAGGTCACAAAAGCCAGGGTGGATCCCATGGCTAGGGCTCTGGCAGTCTTCTCTGGATCATCTTTTCTCTTCCAGGACTTCTCGCTGGAACAGGCAGGGGGCAGCAGCGGCCCTATCTCTTCAGGGCCTGATTGAAACAGTGGGCCTAGGACAACTGGATCCCCTTGGTTCTGTGACTAGAGCACCAGTTTGGGGCACCTTTCCGCTGAGTGAGTGTTCCTGGGTCCACGGGAGACATCCTGGATGGAACTCTCAGCTCTGTCACTGGTTTCCACATGTCTGTCCCCAAACACATCTATGGTCGCCATTTGTTTAGTAAGTTTTCAGGAAACTTCTGAAGATTTGGCTTCTGTTAACACTTTACCTCCTAGGGCCCACTGCCTTCTGTCATCTCTGAAATCCCTCCTCCTCCTCCTCCTGGGAGGGGACCAGGGACAGTGTGTGTGTGTGTGTGTGTGTGTGTGTGTGTGTGAACTTTTATATGAACACTTGAATTTGACCAACTCACAGAAAACAAATAATTTCTGAAGCTCATTACATTGGTGAAACAGACTTACTCCCTCCCAAGACCCTGGATGGGTCAAATAGACCACGAATCTTCCTCAAAATCAACAATGTGACTTTCGTTTTAGGATGGAAGCAGGAAAGGCATTTTGAAAATAAAGCCTAAATGTCACCCACCACAGCAGAAAATGTGCTCCTCGTGGGAGACAGAACTTCCCCCATTAACTAGGTAAGCTATGTGGGTAAGTAACCTGCCCTACCCAGAGTCCCACAACTGCTGGGGAGGGGGGACCTGACACAGGTCAGGGGAGAGCTAGCAAGCCAGCTCCACACCAAGGCCAGACCAGATGTCAATAATAAAATGAGAGGATCGACTTCAGGCTTCTAGAGCCAGCAAAGACTTTGCCAATTACATTATTATTATTATTATTTTATGAAAAGGATACTGAGGTTTAGAGAAGTTAAGTTACATGCAAATGCCTCTCCACCCCCAGCTGATTGTTGGCATACTCAGGACTAAATTCCAGTTAAGGGTTCTTTTTCTTTGTGAATCTAGCAGGCTTTGAAATTAATGAATTGAAAAAAAAAGTTTGTTGCATGAAAAGATTGAAGAAAGGTATGGAGAATTAGAAACTTGAGAAACTCGGATCAGTGGCATCGGTGTGTGTGTGTGTGTGTGTGAGTGTGTGTGTGTGTGTGTGTGTGTGTGTGTGTTTGGTTTGGAGTAAGGGGGTCCAGTGGGCAGGTGGAGGCTTCCTAGGGCAAGAACGATGGACCAGTTGAGGGGATGCCATTTAGAACCAGAGAGACTGGAAGTCTGAATGATGCTCATCACTGCAAGATATTGATGGAGGATCTCAACCTGGTTTAAGCCAGTTTCTCAACCTCAGCCATGATTGATGCTGAGTTGAGTAATGTCTCCCTGGGGAGGCTGCGCTGCGTGTCATATAAAATTCTTCATCCTCTCTGGTATTGACTGGTTGGTATCCCTCCATGATAACTAGAAACATCTCTAGATGTGGCTAAATATCCCCAGATCTTTGAGGAGGTGGCAACGTTGTTCCTGGCTGAGAATAACTGGTTTAAAAGAGTCAGACAGGGGCAGGGACTTATATGGGTAGAATGTCCTACTAGCCATAAAACAGCTATTCCATTCCACCAGAAGAGAGGCCACAGGGCACAGGACACTCAGGCTTGGGTTCCTGGGAGAGGGATGACAGAATCCGGACTGGGAAATGTTTCTCCCATTAAGGGGAAAATGCGTGGTTCAGAAGCTGGGAGAAGTCTTCCTGGTTCTCTGCAGAGAGCCTGGCCCCTCTAGAGAGCAGTCACAGTCAGTGCAGCTGCTTCCTCCTAGCTTTGTCTTAGCTTTCATTCCCCAACCCCTAGACCCAGGCAAGGAAAGCCAGAAGGTTTCATACAAGCTGTCGGAGTTGAGAGTGAAAGTAATAAGGCTAGCACAGGGAATAGCTCTAGGCAGAGTTGGGAGACTCCCTACTCTGCCAAAGACCGACTAGGATTTTTGTAGTCCCCCTGAGAGGCACAATTGGAATGACCCATGGTGGGGGGGGGCTTTTTTTTTTAACCAGGTACACTAAAACTATCCATGTGAAACATAGCTGTGTTATTGGCCATTTAGGAAAAGAATGGGCTTAAAAGGTTGAGGGGATAGGTAGTGAGGTTACACCGTCTTAAGAGTGATCATACCCTATCCAAAAAGTGATCATACCTTATCCTTAACTGTCCCCGAGGTTCTGACCTTTCAGTGTGCTCTGGACACTAGAATGAGTGTGTCACCATTTATTCTGAAGCTAGCCTCTTCGTGCTGAATATGGCATCAAGCAGTCCTTCATCCTTGTGTGTCACACGGGAGGGTAATGGGTCTAAAGAGGGAGCTTGGTCACTAGCTGAAAGGCGGCAGAGCCTCTGTAAAGGGACACCAAGGCTTCTGGGCTCAGAACACTTTTCTGGTCTCTGTGTTGTCCCTGAAAGGGGCTTCTGGAAACAGAGTGCTGGAAACTCATATTAAGAGTCTACTGCTCAAGGACCCTAGGCCTCAAATTAGCCCCCAGGGCCACAGGGAGGGTATTAGGGGCTTTGAGTAAAATTGCAGTTAACTCTCCTGAAGTCCCAACCTTAGAGGGCTGTTGTGAAGCCTGGAGGTGAGAGCCCTTCACATAGTGGCTGGCTCACAATAGGCTGTTTTTATTGACATTTTTATCCCCTGAAGGAGTTACAGGAGATAGGAGCCCACTAAAGAACCTGGGAAGGGCACATCCCTGGGTTTGGAGAGGAGAGGGTGGGCTACAACACCGCATCATGGTTTCTCCTAAGCTGTGGGTAGGGCAGATGGGTGGGAGAGGTAACCCCTCCGGGTTAACTTGAACACTTTTTAGATAGTCCCAGCCTGCACATCTTGGGAAAAGAACGCTGGTTTATTACCATCCAAATTGCACTCCAAACTTCTGGAGGTGCCAACACGGGGCAGTGAGGACAGGGATTTGCCCACTTCTCAGGGGAACAACAGTCCCAGTCTCCACCCTCGGGCTCCTCACCATCCGTCTGGGTCTGACGATCCACTAGGGGGCCCACGTGCCCTTGACTGGCAGCGCGCTGAACGTCCAGGACACCCTGGGAGCGGCTGGGGCAGAACACTGCTGTGTGCACCTCGACCCCTGGATTCTCCGAAGCGAAAACGCTGCAGAGCAGGTCCTCCAGACGGCGGCGCGACTCTGCCTCCTCATCCGGCCGCGGCTGCACGAGGATCCCGACGAGCGCGGCTGGCGGGCGGCGGTCCTGGGCGCGCACCTGCTGCAGGAGCAGCTGCAGCCGGGGCAGCTGCGTGTCTAGCGCCGACGCGTGGCACAGCACCAGGAGCAGCTGCTTGCCGAGCTCCGAGCCTACTTCGGCAATCTCAGCCGTCTCCGAGCAGGAAACCCCGTTTAGATCTCGAGATGCCTCGCAATCGGGCGAGTCCTTTTCATTGAGATTCGAGAGCTGCTGCTTCTCTGGCTTTTCCGGCTTCTCCGGCTTCTCCGCGCGGCGCTTGTACTTGGCTGCCGGGGCTTCTGGGCTGTCTGCCAAGCAGTCGCCGGTACGCTTGAGTCCCCGCCTGGTACTGCTGGAACTACTTTGGCAGTCAGTTGCTTGGCTGTCGGCGGGCTCAGCGTACGGATCCGTCGGAGGCTGATCCGGAAAGTTCTGCAGGGTCGTGTAGCTCTCTTCCTGCTTCAAGAACTCTCTTATTAGCAGCACCCGACCGCGACCCGAGATAGTTTGATTCGGGGTCTCTGGTTGAGCCTCGACCTTCTTCTTCAGGGTCCTTGAGGGCCGCTCCCCAGGCCCCTGTTCCATGTTGGTCCGGCTCCCTTGCCCCAATGAGCTGGGGCTTCTGTTGGCCAAATAAAAAACGGCCTTTCCTTGGAACATGTCACAATACCCCTCGGTCTTACAGCCTCCTGCCGCAGGCAACCAAGGGCCTCTAACCCACTATTCCCTGAGAATCTTCTAAACATAGGGAAACTGATGTTGGATGCTGGGATAACACACACACTGACCTTGGGGTCGTGTGTGTGTGTGTGTGTGTGTGTGTGTGTGTGTGTGAGGTGAATTCAACAGGCACATCTTTCCAGGCAGAAGGATGGACTCGCTAAAGCCTCCACGTAAAAGGAAGACATTTTAAAAACAGTGGCTGTGGACCAGATGTGGTCTGCACACGACACAACCACAGAGACTCGGATTCTAGTAGTGGGGTAATTTGTTCCTTTTGTTAATTTTCTTGTAAAAATGAGCCTTGAAATTTTTTTAAATATAAAAGTAAAAACAAGCCAGGCGGTGGTGTTGCATGCCTTTAATCCCAGCCCTCAGGCGGATCTCTATGAGTTCGAGGTCAGCCTGGTCTACAAAGTGAGTCCCAGACAGCCAGGTCTGTTCTACAGAGAACCCTTGTATCGGGAAATTATACACATGTATATTTACACTATATAAATATAAATATGTATACATATATACATACACACACACACTCATCAAAGCTCATAGTTATAAAACCCTGAGCTGAAATCCCACTAAAAAGTCCAAAGTCCTAGAGGGCAAGTCTAGGCAAAACCAGAATGACCTGCCTTGGCTGAGCCAGACTAGACAGTGGTGATGTCTGTTCCCATCCTGGAGACTCAGCTACACTCCAGCCAGACTCCAAGACCCTTCTGTTTAACTGGGCAAATCTGAAAGGTACCACCACAGCTGGCCTTTCTCTAGGGAGCCGATGAAGTCCTGAGTGTGAGGGGAGACTGAGGTTACCATGGCAGCAGGAAGCCTCACCTAGGTTTCCATTTTTGCTTTTTAATCCAGT